TCAGCGGCGGGCTTTATGCTTTGGTGATTTATAGCAGAGACAACTGGGGTTTATCTTACAGGTTTGACAGAGGAAGTTGGTTTTGAGATGCGGTATAACCGTAAGCAGTGGCAAAACAGCTCCGCACTGGTGGATATCAAAAATCCCACCTCTTTCTTTTTAACTCAAGTGGGAAATTTTAGTACTAACAGTCAGAAGGCTGTGAGTTCGATTCCCATCTAGAGGAGAAACTGATGAAGCCACAGTTTTAGCATTCTTCATGGCACTAGATGTTGATTTTAAGGATATCTATAAGGTACTGTGCTTCAAAAAAGGGACAAAAATGAGCATTTAGAAGGTAAAGACCTGATATAAACATTCAAAGCGTGCAGTTTGTCACTTCCGCATAAATGGATCAATGTTTTTTTTTTTCTCATAATTTATTTTCTCATCAAATCTTCTGACCAATCAAATGCTCTAGTAGTATCTGACATGTCCCTCCTTCATTCAAAACGCTTCACTTAGCTTTTCATGCACTTGAGCTCAACCAGCCTGATCTCACAAGGAAACGTAACTGTCTTACGTTTTGTCAGTTTATTGGCTAATTTGTACACATTTGTATAAGTTCAGTTGTACAAAAATGTACAATTTTAAAAAGGAGGTGTGGCACCCAACTCTACCCCTAAACCAAATTGTAATTGGGGGATGAGCAAATTATACTAAATTGTATAAATGAGATCATATTTATTCATATGAATGAGCAACTAAATCAAAAAGTTTTGAACAGCCATGAGATAGCATTGGTTCAATCGCTTTTACTGTCAGAACTTTGTTAAAGACGAAATGCGATTGGCTATAAATGGGAGGAGCAACTACACTGAAAAAAATGACTCAAAGATGATGTCTTGGATTTACTAAGATTGTTTTTTTTTTTTTAGATAAGTGGCTGTAAACAATTTATTTGGAATTTAAACTAAACTAATTAAGCTGAACATTGCTGAATTATGATTATTTTTTGTTTAAATTCAACTCATATAAATTGTTTGCTACAATTTTGCAGACATAATTTTGTTTTCTGTGTATATGTCCATGTTCATGTTTCATTTGAGATTACATTAAATTATTATTTAAATATTAATTTAATTAAAAATTAGCACATTTTAAAGCAATTCACAAGACATTTAAAGAAATGGTTGACCCAAAATAATAATTAATTTTCCCATATTTTGATCACCCTCATGCCATCTTTTGTGTAGTTTTTATTTATTTTTTTGTCTGTCAGATGAACACAGTTTGAGTAGTTTTAGATTATGTCCTGGCTCATCCATGCTGTAAAAATGTATTAAACAGTGACTTTTATTTTGAAGTTTCCAATGTGCACACTGTAAAAATGTAATGACATAAGAGCAAGGTAACAAATATTTTTAGGTTGATTTAACTTACTTTATTATGTTAATCAGGTTTCAACTACAATTTTGAAGTTATACAAAGTTTAATCTAATATTTTTTAGACAGCTTGATTGATTGTAAGTTGAGATGATTAGAAAAGTTCATTCGATTCAACTAACAAATTTATTGCAGCAAGATATTTTTACAGTGCATTAATCCATTGTCAAACAAACCCATAAAGCACCATGTCTTATAAAGCACGTATAATTATATATTTTTAATTATACAGGGCATCCAGAAAGTATTCACAGCACTTAACTTTTTCCACATGTTTTATGTTACAGCATTATTCTAAAATGGATTGAATTCATTTATTTCCTCAAAATTCTACTCACAAAACCCCATAATGACAATGTGAAAAAAAAAAGTTTTTTTTTTTTTTTAAATGGTTGCAAATTTATTACAAATAAAAAACCTGAAAAATCATACGTACATAAATATTCACAACCTTTGCCGTGAAGCTCTAAATTGAGCCCAGGTACATTCTGTTTCCACTGATCATTCTTGAGATGTTTTAGCAGCTTAATTTGAGTTCACCTTTGGTCAATTCAGTTGATTGGACATGATTTTAAAAAGGCGCACACCTGTCCATATAAGGGCCCAGGGTTGACAGTGCATGTCAAAGCACAAACCAAGCATGAAGACAAAAAAATAGTCTGTAGACCTCCAAGACAGGAGTGCCTAGAGACGCAAAGCTGGGGAAGGTTACAGAAAAATTTTGCTGCTTTGAAATTTCCAATAAGCACAGTGGCTTCCAATCCCTGGCCTCGTAAGTGGAAGATGTTTGGAACCACCAGGACTCTTCCTATAGCTGGCCAACCATCTAATCTGAGTGATCGAGGAGAAAGGGCTTTAGTTAGGGAGGTGATCAATAACCCGATGGTCACTCTGTCTGATCTTCAGGGTTATTCTGTGGAGAGTGGAGAACCTTACAGAAGGACAACCATCTGTGCAGCAATCCACCAATTAGGTCTGTATGGTAGAGTGACCAGACGGAAGCCACTCCCCACCTGGAATTTGCCAAAAGGCATCTGAAGGACTCTCAGTCCATAAGAAAGAAAATTCTCTGGTCTGATGAGACAAAAATTTAACTCTTTGGAGTGAATGCCAGGCATTACGTTTGGAGAAAACCAGGTACCGCTCATCACCAGGCTAATAGCATCCCTACAGAAAAGCATGGTGGTGGCAGCATCATGCTGTGGGGATGTTTTTCAGCAGCAGGAACAGGAAGACTAGTCAGGATAGAGGGAAAGACAAATGCAGCAATGTTCAGAGACATCCTGAATGAAAACCTGCTTCAGAGTGCTCTTGACCTCAGACTGGGTTGACGGTTAATCTTCCAGCAAGACAATGACCCAAAGCAAACCGCCAAAATATAAATAGAGTGGCTTCACAACAACTCAGTGAATGTCTATAAGTGGTCCAGCCAGAGCCCAGACCTAAATTCCATTGAACATCTCTGGAGAGACCTGAAAATGGCTGTACACCATCACTTCCCATCCTACCTGATTGAGCTTGAGAGGTACTGAAAAGAGGTACGGGCAAAAATTCAAGCCAAGCCTGTGGCATCCTATTCAAAAAGACTTGAGGCTGTAATTTCTCCCAAAGGTGTCTCAACAAAGTATTAAGGAAAGGCTGTGAATACTTATGTACATGTGATTTTTCAGGTTTTTTATTTTGAATAAATTTGCAACAATTTCAAAAAAACTCTTTTTTCGCATTGTCATTATGGGCTATTGTGTGTAGAATTTTGACAAAATAAATGAATTTAATCTCTTTTTGAATAATGCTGTAACATTAAAAAAATTTGGAAAAGGTGAAGCACTGTAAATACTTTCCATATGCCTTGTAAATTCCAATCCAAACATGCTTATCAGAAGCTCCGTAAATAGATGCTTCTTGCAGGAACCGTGCACTTACCCCACAGTTTGCTTACCTCAGAAGACGACAACTAACTAAAAACCAGTTGGCTTAGCGTTACTGTATGACGTCATACAGTGTATTTCTCTTACAATGTTGTGTACATGCATTTACCTGTCTGATGTCATGCGTCATACATAGCATACGTCAACCGCTCGTAATTATGCCTTCAGAAGTCAGTGATTGGAGTTTAAAGTTTAACATTTTTAATTTATAAGTTTAATAAGACATGCGTTAACCACCTGGCACACAGCTTATTTTTACGACAGATTTATGCTCTTTTGGAAACTTCACAATAAAAGCCCCTAAACACAATCATACAGCATGAAAGCATTTTAAATAACTTTGTTCATCTGACAGAACAAAAAAGTCATATACACTGAGGATGACTCGCGGGTTAGTAAGTAATAAGATAATCACAATTTTGGGGTGAACTATACCTTCAAGAAAGGGATTAAATGTTTTCTTTCTCTGTCTCAGGAGAAGACGTGTAATATAGATGGGATGTGTTTTGCTGATGGAGATTCCAGCCCCTCCATTCCGTGTCTCCTGTGTAACTCCACTGCCTCGAAATACACCTGGTCCATTAATCAAGGTAAACACAGCCAAGCCGAGAGCTGATGGCATTAGCACGTTAATGAATGTTGTCTGTACTTGTTGTCATCCTCATAGAACACTTGTAAACGGTTATTTCACCCTAAAATGACTATGCTTTTATTAATTAATCAGCCTCATATTGTTCCAATCGCTTGAGACATTTGTCTTAAAAATACAAATTAGCCTATTTTAGGTGAGATCTGTGAGCTCTATCATCCTTCATAGAGGTTTCTGACTCATTGAAAATCTAGAAAAAATCCTAAAGGATCCTCAAAACAGACTACATGCCTTCAATTGGATAAAATACTATCATACTTTTGTGAGCATCTAAAACAAAAATAAGAACTTTATTTAACAGTTTCTTCACTTCAGTGTCAGTATAGTGTGCACATGCACTGTGCAGTGACAAATACTGCTCCGGATACCCGATACAAAGCATATCCTACTGTAGGTTATATGTTGCGACCAATCTTGAGCCATGAACGTGTACCCTGTATTGACACTGAGAAGCAGAAACTGTTTTTATTTTATTTTGTTTTTGTTTTATATGCACAAAAAAATATTCTCGTAGCTTTTCCGTATACTTTTTCTCGTATACTATTCCGATTAAAACACTGTTAACACATGTAATGATTTTAAAATGTTTTCGATGCCTTGCTGGACTTGAATTTGGATCATTGATGTATATTGGGGATGAGAGAGCTCTGGGATTCATCTAAAATATCCTAATTTGTGTGTGTTTTGGAGATGAACTCAGCTCTCAGAGGTGTTGTAACGACATATGAGAGAGTAAATTTTTTTTTTTTTTTAGTGAACTAACCCTTTAAGCTACAAATTAGTTACAGATTTTAGCAGTCATGGGATTTATTTGACCCAACACCCTTCTGCATGACCCATTTCAAAGTTAATTTACAAAGTAGCTTTCAGAAACATCTGAAAATACAAGTTGTGGTATAGTAGTTAAAAGTAATAGTCATTCTTCAGACTCATTAAGTCTTGGTGCTCATATAGGAGATGTTGTGTTAAATCCCATTTCTGCTTTTTAAAGCAAAACT